TGTCACAAACCACACATGAGGAAATGTCACTTCACACCTCAGCAATTCCAGGTACATCGCTTACAAGTTGGATGGTCAAGTTCATCCCTTCAATTGTATGGATTTTGCTTTGGTACAATTGCACAGTCAATACATAAAGGTTTGAACTGTCACTTCCATCAGTCACAGAGAAAATGTGATCTACAAAGAGTTTCCAAAAAAATGGCACTTTAAAGAGTACTACTGGAAATAGGTACTTAGGGCTGCAACTGCAGCCTCAGGAGCAAACGCATTGTCTTTCACACACTCCTGTTAAAGACACTTCTGGGATTAAATGATACAAATCTTTGAAAGTGTGTGGGGGAAGGGGTTTGGACTTGCCTCAGCTGAATGTGCTGGGCTTTGCTGACTGCCCATGGGAAGCCATACCTTTTCAGAGGAGGGGATGGATGGGAGAAGGCTGGAGGGAAGTGGGAGGAGGGATGAGGCGGGGATTTGTGGTTGGTGTGTGGAATGATTAAAAGCATTCTTAATAATAAAAAAAAGTGTGTGCATCAGACACACTGTGTGAAGAACTTGGGTGGAGATACTCAGTGCTTCACATCGTTTCACTGTAGTTAAAGTGAGACTCCTTCCTACACCAAATGCATTTCCTTAAAAGTGTCTTTGTGTATAAATGAGTTTGTTGGTGTCCTCTCTTCCTTGGGCATATACAACAGCTTCATCCTGAAGTTGGAATAAGGCACAGAAGAGATGGGTGCCTTGTACATTCACAGTGTACAGTGTCATCTGGAAACAGATTCCCACAGAAGCATGTGGTACAGCCTCTGATCAAGGGCCTAGAGGAGACCTCACAGGTGACTCCTATTAGGAGGAAAATAACCAACCATCTGCTCAAAGTTGTTCCTGATGGGAAACCATGAGAAGTTAGTAGACCTTCACTCCTCCCCTGCTATGCATTGCTCCTCAAGTTACTTCAAAGTTCTCATTCCAAAGGCATCAGGAGCATGAACGCAGCATAAAAGAACCAAGGTACAGCAGCTAATGCACAAGCCTCCTCAAGTACTCCATGGCTCCTTTTCAGGAAGAACTCTAAAGATCTATTCTCTCCCTACCATTCTTTCAGTCCCTACACTTCTTTTTGAATTGTAGGCATTGCCTTGGAATAGCAATTCAATCCTCCTGCAGAACAAAACTATTTGAAAAGTACAACCATTCTATTCCAAAGCTCTTCAACCTTCTCATGCATTTGTGTTCTTTGACCACATGCATTTGTGCACACATTAAATGGATCTTTGTATTAGCTGCATTTTCAAACCATTAGCTTGACTATAGTTTTGAATTTTGGTGTGCTTTTTAAACAACAGAGACAATATGCCAGGAAATTAAGGTCTTTTTATTTTAAGGCTCCATGAGGCTCACTCGGAAAATGCTTGTCAGAATGAAGCTGAACATTCGTGTTTCTTTCAGAACAAATGAAGTAAGTCTAAGCCAGGAGTGCTGATATTATTCATGCTGATGGAATTATGGGATGTGTGTTTGATGTCTATAGGGTCGTTAGTTGTAATGGTAAGGGGGAGAACAAACAGCTACCAATCCTTACTATTTAAAAGGCTGAATTATCTGAGAATTGCCACCCTGGTAACTAGAACACTACCATAAAGTACCTGTCTTCAACTAACCACAGCATCTGTTTCAAAGCAGGAATTCTTTTCTTTCCAGAAAGAGGTGAACATCAGGCCTATGGCAGAAAAAGCAAGCAGTTCTGAGGAGCTCTACTCAGAGAGACACACAGCAGGATGAATGTACTTTCGCACCAAGAGCTTCAGCTCCACATTCCCTGCACTTTAGAAGGAACTTTAGAGTTAACAAGTGGCAATTGTCACCCTCTGTGGATTTATCCAACACAGTGTAATTACTTCATATAAAGAACCACTAAGAAAGCTAGCTAACAGAAGTCCCAGTCACATGTGGCCATGGCTAAACCCACCCTGTTGCTCAACAGTACAGCAGTGCCGTCTGAACTAATGTGACAGTCTTGACAGAGCTTTGCAGTCTGGGTTTTAACCTTTATGTTTGTCACATGACAATGAGAACTGTTGAATACTGGAAGGAGAATAGCTTTCTGTGATAGACCTTTAAAGCCCATTGTCTTCTGGCAAGTGACACACTGATAGTGTCACATTCATTTTCAAATGTGTTCACCATCAGAAAGTAATAATGGCCCAGAGCATTTATGTAAATGGGTTACTAATTATGGAAATTCACTCTTCAATTCCATCTTGTATTTTTTGGAAAATTCAAATGCAACATCATAGGATGTTCCTGTCTAATTTCAAATAAGAAAAACTTAAAATTTTGCAATAAATGTATTGACCTTCAGTCTTAATGATACCTACAGAAATTAATACATTCCTAGATAGGGAAGTTGGTGGCTCTTGCATCAAGGAACTAGAACAAGCTTTGG